AAACAAAAAATAATCAAGTCAGGGAAACTGCTCTTCTCTTTTCCTTTCTCGTCAAACGAGTCATTTCCATGCCAAAGAAGATAAATCACGGGCACTTGATGTTATACAGCCATGGTCAAGTCAAGGCAAGAAATTTCTGAAGCTCTATAAATGTGACCCTATTCTAAATATTTGAGGTGGTGGGGTTAGTGGAAAATGACCAGAATACTAGTGGCATGAACTCTCTTTTCTTCTCCCTTTGCATAGTGGGAATGTAGGGCCTTTCCAAAAGCAATTGATGGGTATGTGTATCATGTATTCGAAGAAATTTGTATTCAAGTTGAAACAGATGATAGGAGGTTGTCTTCTAAAGTTATGTAAGAACCTTCTTGTTTGACAAAAACAATTGCCGTATTTGGATTGTTTATAGAGTGATTTTGTTTCTTCTGAAAAAGCAAATGGTGCCCTTTTTGCAATTTCTTTTCCTGCTTGAATGTTCATTGAAGGATGAGCTATGGGGGGTGATGTGTATATAAAACATTACTACGTACAGCATGATCTCATATATATATCATGAAGTGTCTTTTCTTTAAAAAAAAAAGAAACAGAAAATTCAATGAGGGAATTTTGTGGGCCAACTCAGAGAGCTTGTACCACTGATCAGATGCAAGCCCTCCAGCATGATCTCATGTCCTTACCACCCTGGATCCGTTCTTGTTCTCTAATGGAATCCTCACTGCTGGCTTGCAGAGATGTTGCATCGATCGATGTTGCTCGAGTCCTTGGAAAGTACGGAAAATAAATAACACCAATCGAATAATAGGCTTATAGGCCATTAGCCAGAGCAATCAAAGAGAGCAAGGCCTTAATAAATCATGCTAGGGCTTGCTTCCCTGTTGTTACAACGTAGTTATTATACTCGGTTTGGTGTTTAATTCAGATTAAGATTTAGGTTGTAGGTTTGTTGAATGAAATTGAGTCAATTTTAATTATATAATTTTGTTTTTAACAAAAAAAAAAAAAAATTTTAAAGCTGGCTCGGATAGATCTTACTTGATTTTTCTAGATCAACATAATAATTTGATTTAACAAAATCAATTTTTAAATCCATTCAAAATAAAATCTAACTTATAAAAGATCCCAAATCTATAGGCAAACAAGTCTGACTCGCTAGGAGTTAAATAACTATAATTAAAATTGAAAAAATTCATCATAGAGCTTAGCTTTAGACATAACATGAAATCTTATGTTATTTTTGGGCTTAAAACTAGGCTAAAACAGCAACCTAACCTAAAAATCTTAAAAAATTTTGTTTAAAAATTATTTATTTGTTCAGTTGAAAGTAGTTTAATGAAAAATTAAATTTTAAAAAATTAATTTTTTATTTATATTTATTAATAACATAAAAAATAAATTAAAAAATAAGTTTAAATATTTTGTTATGTCATGAACATTAAAAAGAAAATAAATTATTAATATTTTATTTTTTTAAGTTTATTTAATATATAATTAATAAAATATATAGGGCGTGAACTTTTCACTAAAACACTATATATAAATTAATATAAATTGGTATAATAAAATTACTTTTCTACCTCTTTGTTTTTAAAAGGGAAGTCTTGGTAATGGCACCTCAGTCTTTTCGAATGGCTTACTAGCCATTAAAAGATTATTAGAGGGTTTATTTATATTTTCAAAAAAATAAATACTAAATTTATATATTTACTCTCTAGATAAAAAAAAATTAGGATTTTTATTTGTTTGAATATAGTAAAAACAATGTTTTTACCCTTAAAAAAAACAAAATAAGGCATTCATCTAAAAGGTATTTTGATTTTCTCACCTAGGGTTCTTTTTTATATAATTTTCTGAGGTATGATGAATATTTTGATATTTTTAATTTGAATAATTAACTTTTTTATTCCAAAAAGATGTTAGCATGTTATTATTACACTATAACATGTAGGTGATATTTATACTCTTTAAGCAATATTTTTTATAGCACCTGATGGCCAAACCTGCATTTTTATCGTGTTTTTGAAAGTATTATTATATTTATTTTTTTATTAGTGTGGCACATGTCTTCTTCTTTTTTTCTTTTCTTTCTTTTAAAAAAAGTACATTTTATTCTTTTTATGTGTTTTGATTTCAGCTCTTATGTGTTAAGAAATTGTTATTATTACGACAAATACCTCATTTCCACTTGTACAAGTGGAACAACTTATCACCAACTTAATACAAAGTGAAAGCATATTTTATGGTATAATTGGTACTATGTTTTATGGCTTTTTTGTCCCATCAATATTGACAAATATGCTGGAGAAACTTATCATTGATGCCTATAAAATAGTCATAATTTTATAAAGCAAAGTGAGTTTGTGTAAGAAAGAAGAGAGAAAGAGAAAATGGAAATGACATCAGCTTTGCTGTCATTACAGCAATGAGAGATACGAGTTAAATAGAGTGGATATGATTTTCTTCATCCATGTATTTGTATTATATCATTTCTCTATCTCTAATAATATAAAAATCTCCCGTAGATGTGGGTGATTTGTCAAATCACATTAAATATTGTGTTAATGTGCTTAGCCTCCAATGACCAATAATCAAAACATCACCGGTCAGAATTCCCGACATTATGTTTTTTATTTTTTATTTTTTCCCTTAGTTATTTTATAATTTTTTTTATGTTTTCAATTTGGTTCTTAAATTACAATTTATCAAGTATTATTTTTTATAATTTAATCTTTATTATTTTAATTTCTGATTTTTTTCCTTGGCTCTTTTGTTAAAATTTTATTGGTTTTCAATATCATCCTTCAATCAAAGTTTATGTTATTTTTTTTTTTAACTTAGACCTCATTCTTTTGATTTTCTTTTTCTTTTGTTAAAGTTTTTGTTTTTTTAATTTAACCCCCAATTAAATTTTTTTATGCCCAATAATTTATTTTTTATTTCATTTTTCACACTCATTGTTTTAATTATAAATTTTTATTTTGGATCCTTTTATGTGATTGATTTTTTTTCCTAATTTTTTTCTTTTGCGTTTAATTTATTGGGGATTGGGTTGTGTAATTTTTCTATTTGTATTACTTCCGATCTAATAACATGGATCCCAAGTTTGAAAGTTAATGCGGATCGACATCTTTTTTTTTTAATTTCTTTTCTATCATTTTATCTCATAATCTAGGCTATGAGTTTTGAAGACCATTTTTTAATAGAGTTTTGTTTAAAAAAATTATTTTGTTTGTATTTAATTTTTGAAGATATTGTTTTATACAAATGAACTTTATTGTTTAAAATAATATTTCTAATATGTTCGGCCTTGCATAATATTTTTTTTCTTTTGTTTTTTGGCCTTGCATAATATTTTTTTTCTTTTGTTTTATTTAATCAATTTCATATGTATTTTTATTTTTATTATTGATTTTAATAAAAAATTTAATAAACATAATTAAATAAATATATTATTTTATAATATTAAATATATTGATTTACATTTATATTTTATTTTACGTTGTATTGCTCTTTGGATTGGAAAGGATTCCATCAGGGACTAGACTATATTTCTGCTATTAAGAAGTGGACGACTCCATTTTTTCTCAGCTTTTTGATTGTTAACAAAGGTCTGCAACGTTACCATGATTAAATCCAGTCATGCATTGAGTTGATCATTCTTTTTATTTTTGTTTTCCCCATTGCTTCTGATTCCTTATTTCCAGTTTCATGAATTTCTCATGTCTATTATGCAATTCTTCATGTATCTCCTCATGCATTCATTGCATTTGTTCCTTCAATTTCATTTCTAGTTCTTCCAAGGCCCTGCCTTTATTGTATTCTACCATGGTTAATGATTATGTGTTTAACAAAGATTGATGGTGGATTTTTGATGGCTCCGATAGCAATTTTGTTATGAACCTTGCTGAACAACAAGGATTTGAGAAGAAAAGAAAGTTTAGAGAAGAGAGAAGAAAAGAAGAGAATTGAGAGACAATTAGAAGAATAATAAGGAGAAAGAGTAATGCAAAACTTTACAGGAATGTTAATTGATACAGCTTGATTCTGCTAACTGCTACTAGAGTTACTATAGCTACTTGTCATCATGGATATTGTACCAATTTTCCTTCTGGAAAGACTATTTTTCATTTTGATGAGAAACCATTTTCATGGAAATTACCATCTTGAAATTTACCAAACATGAAAAAATTAAGAAGGCGGTTTTCAGAAAATATTTTCTTGAAAATAAAAAATGCCCTAAGAAAAGGAAACCAATTTGGTTCAGAACTCCATTTCCTTTATATACGGGTCAGGACCTTCCTCATCCAGGATTTCCACAGTCCTGGTTTCATCGGTACGAGCAGTGGCTTGTTTTATTTAGGTTAAAATTTCTGCCAAAAATTGGTGTTGGAGACATGGGTTATTGGGTTTTACTTCTTCGGTTCAAATCTAAGAGGAGACCATCATAAAGAAATTGTTTTCCCTAAATGCTTTGGACGCATTACTCATTCACTAGAGATTTAATCACAATTCATAAAAGCTGGCACAAAATAGTCTTGTTATGGAAACAGAAAAAAAGAGATTTTTTTTATTGAGTTGTAAGAAAATAATAACTCTAAACATTAATAAAATATAAAAAGAAAAAACTAATGAACGCACATAAATCGTTGAATTAATGAAACCTAAGTGTATTTACACTAATAGAGCTGTCATAAACCCTTCAAAGGTTGGGACCCTTTTTTTTTTTTTTTTTTAGATTAATGTGGATGTCGGGCCAGCTTGCGCGTACCACGACTAATCCCATGGGCCCTGAAGTTAACGATCATGTAAGCCTCCAATAACCATCATATGAGCAACTAAGAACTCGAACCTGAGACTATAAAAAGAACAAACTCCTTGATTCTAAGTTCTTATCATTTAGCCACCTATAGTTGGTTGGACCTTTTCTAGTAATACTGTTAGACAGATAACAAACCTCTTGATTCTAAGTTCTTACCTTTTAGCCACCTCCTAGATGATTGGTTGGTACCTTTTCTAGTAATACTGTTAGACAGATAAATGTCTGAATGATCCATGCCATTCTCTGACAAACAGTCCAGTGATTGTTTGCACTCAACTATGTTTGTGTAATAAACAACAACATTGTTAGTTGGGTTTAGCATCTCACTTGTCAGCATCATCTGCTACAAATTTGCCATCTATCTATGTACCGTTATGGGAGAGGTGTCCGTTTCCTTAGTTATATTGCAAGCAAGAGGACTAACAACACCACATGGGATCCTACACTATCACTTGACCTTAATCACCCATCTCTTGTTCTTCTTGAAAAATGCAAAACCAGAGATCATTTCAAGCAGATTTTGTGTCGGATAATGAGAAGCAGTAAACTCATTGGCAAAACATTTCCAATGAGTAGATTCATTTACTTCTCAGCTGTTTCACACCCTGATAACTTAGACTTGGCAATTACTCTTTTTAATCACTTCACTCCTAACCCAAATCTTTTTATTTACAATACATTGATTTCTGCTTTTTCTTCATTGAAAAAGATTGAATCTTTTTATCTGTACAATGTTTTGTTGAGTTCTGGTGAGTGCCCAGATAAGCAGACACTGCTTTATTTGCTTCAAGCTGTCAACTTTATATCACAAGTGAAGCAAATCCATTGCCAGGCCATTGTTACAGGGTTGTTCTCATTTGGGTATTTGCAGAATACCCTTATTAAAGTGTACTTAGATAATGGACTAGTGAGGCTTGCACATCAGGTATTTGAAAAGATGCCTAGTCCAGATATTGTTTCCTTTAATGTTATGATTGTTGGTTATGCTAAGAAAGGGTTTGGTTTGGAAGCAATGAGATTGTTTCATGAAATAGTGGGTTTGGGCCTTGAACCTGATGAGTTTACTATTTTGGGTTTGCTTGTTTCTTGTGGGCAATTAGGAAATGTAAAGTTTGGGAAGGCTGTTCATGGGTGGATGGAGAGGAGGAAACCTACTATATCGTCGAATTTGATCTTGGGTAATGCTCTTTTGGATATGTATGTCAAGTGCCAAAAGGTCGGGCTTGCTTTGAGGACTTTTGGTGCGTTGAAGGATAAGGATATTGTTTCCTGGAACATGATAGTTGCAGGGTGTGCTAAGGTGGGTGAATTAGAGCAGGCACGATTATTTTTTTATCAAATGCCTTGTAGGGATATTGTTTCTTGGAATTCTTTGGTTACTGGATATGCATATAGGGGTGATTTTGCAATGGTAAAGGAGCTAATCATAGACATGGTGATGGAGAACGTTATACCTGACACTGTCACAATGATTAGCTTAGTCTCTGCCGCCACAGAATCAGGAGCCCTGGACCAAGGTAGGTGGGCACATGGGTGGGTAATTAGAATGAAAATCAAGTTAGATGCTTTCTTGGGTTCAGCATTGATTGACATGTATTGCAAGTGTGGAAGTATTGAGAGGGCTTTAAGGGTCTTCAAGGAAATTAATAAAAAGGATGTCACTGTATGGACAGCAATGATAACTGGATTAGCTTTCCATGGTTATGGAAGCAAAGCATTGGAACTTTTTTCTGAGATGCAGGAAGATGTAAGTCCAGACGATGTGACTTTTGTTTCTGTTCTTTCAGCTTGTAGCCACAGTGGACTTGTAGATCAAGGGATTAAAGTATTTAGTTCTATGACAGACTATGGCATTGAACCAGGAGTGGAGCACTATGGATGTCTGGTGGATCTTCTAGCACGATCAGGGAGGTTGTCTGAGGCAAGAGATATCATTGATCAGATGCCCATGAAACCAAGTCGATCAATCTGGGGGGCAATGTTAAATGCTTGCCAAGCTCAAGGAGATGTGGAATTGGCAGAACTAGCTTCCAGGGAGCTGCTAAATTTGGACCCCGAGGAAGAAGGTGGATACACCTTGCTGTCTAACATTTATGCTGCTAGTGGAAGATGGAGCTACTCTAAAAAAATTAGGGAGACCATGGAAAGTAGAGGAGTGAAGAAGACTGCTGGATGCAGCAGTGTGGTTGTGGATGGAGTCGTCCACAACTTTATTTCTGCAGACAGGTGCCATCCAGGATGGGTGGACATCAGCTCCATTTTGAACTGTCTGAAAAATGAAATGAAGCCGGGGGCAGATTTAGGTTTATGAGCAGGGAAATTAGGTTTCCAATCTGGAAGATAGGAGTTAGATCCATCCGTTACTTGAATACAAAGAATATGGTTGCATAAGAGCTTTTCAGAATTAGCCAAGTCCGTGACCAGATGAAAATGAGGCATCCATTTTAAGGTGAATCTAGATGGATGAAAATGAAAAAATAGCAGTCATGCTCGGATTAAAGAGCTGCTTCTTCTAATTGAGATGGATCGTTATTTTTTTAATTGATACTATTCCTCGCAAAAGCTTTGATAGTTTGAACCAGATAGAAGTGATGATCCAATGTGGACACCATTGCAATTCCTTGAACATAAAATGGACATGAAGCTTCATTTATATGAGTTCACAGCATGGTTTCTCAATGAATTCTCATTATACATCCATGCAGCTAATTAGGAACTTCCTAGCATGGCTACTGCAGCTTCCTGAATCCTGGGAGACATATGATTTGAATGAAAGTGCTTTTTCATGATACAAGGAAGACAGCGCAGCGAGCTTATGTCAATACATGAATGATCAGCTGGAGTAAATTAGTAAAAATCGCCAACTCGGGGGGGGGGGGGGGGGGGGGGCGGTAGTTTATAAAA